CCGACCGCCTCCAGGCGCGCCAGCGCGGCTTTGGCGCGGCCGCCCATGGACCGGAGTGTTCCCTGCGGGAGCCCCAAAACCTTCTCGCCCGCGGCCTCCGCCTCGCCCATGTTCGCAAAGTTGGCGGTCCTCCTCAGGCCTACCAGCAACCCGGGCGCACGGCGCAGCAGCACCCGCAGGCAGGCGTCCCCAGCATGGAACGCGGCATCGTGCGTAATCGACACCGCAGATGACGCGGCCAGGTAGCCCGCCATGGGGGCAACACCCGTGAGACCCAATAGGCCGCCCTCCAAAGCCCCTGGGACGCCCTCGGCTCCCACCAGCCGCCGCACCCCCGCCGCGTCGCCCGCCGCCGCCGCCGCGCTGCAGACCGCCGCAAGGCCGCGCAGCGCCATCGTGCCCTGGCTGCTGGGGTGAGCGTACGCCCTGGCAGTCGCGCCCACCAGCGGCCGCGCGAGCGCGGCGGGCAGCGTCGGCCGCGCGGCAGCCTCCTTGGCAATATCGGCGGCGGCGGCCGCCGAGCCGACGGCCATGCAGCAGAGCTGGGCCGCCGCGATGTCGCCGGCCGGGCCTTCGTAGTACCCGCCGCCTGTGCCGCGGCGCGACGCCCCGGCCGCGAGCGAGGCCACGGCCTGGTCAGGGAACTGCGAGTAAACTGCGGCAACCCGCTCGGCGCGCCGCAGGCCTGGGTCGTCGGTTATGCCTTCGCTGTCGCCGTCGCCGCTGAGGTTCACAATCAGCTGCCAGAGGGCGCCGGCCGCCTGCTCCGGCAGCGCGTGCTTTGCCGGGTCGCCGCGGCCGCAGGTCGCGGCGCAGTGCCTCAGCAGGCAGCCGACAAGCTCCTGCGACTGCAGCAGCCGGTCGCACGCCTCGCCGCTGAACATACATATGGTCTGCAGCGCCATGCACGTCTCAATGGCCACGACGGCATGCAGCCCGTGCCCCGGCTGCGGCCGTCCCAGGGGTGCGGCGAATGGCGCATAGCGGTCGATGGCCCCGGCCATAAGCTCGGGAAAGTCGGGCCGCGCCGCCATCAGCGCGCGGAACACGCGCGTGCTGTCCCGCGCGGGCCGCCGCAGCGTCGTACCCCTCGACGCCATCGCCTCGAGCGACTGCAGCAGGCTCGTATCGCAGAAGAAGCTGGATAAGATGCTGACGACGTGCGAGCAGAGCTCGCCGGCCGGCCCCGTCGGCGGCGCGTCGGGCGCCCATGCGTGCACATCAAGGGCGATCAGGAGGACCCCCAGCGACTCCTCGTTGCCGGCGAGCCGCTGCGCAGCAGCCGGGTCGGACTTGGAGATCACCTCCAGCGCGCACGCCGCCGCCGCGGCCCCTTGGCGCGCAGCCGCCGCGTACTTCTTCGTCGCCGCCGCGCTCATGCCCTGCTCGCGCAGGGTGTCGGGGCCGACCCTGGAGGCGAGCATGAACAGCTTGACCGCGTGCACGAACGCGTCTACCACGCCGCCGGGGCTGCTCGAAGCCGCGAGCACGGCGCGCGCCCCGCTGGGCCAGCCGACCACCAGGGACTTCACCAGTACCGTCGCCCCCATGAAGGCTTGAATGTACGCGACCTCTCCGCCTGCATCCGGGGTCTCATGCAATGCACTTGCAACAAAGACATCGTCCGTGAGGGCCCTGCGCGCAGTGCACAGCGCGGGCAGGGGAGAAGGGTGGCCAGCGGGTATGTATGTGTCGCCGGCGATTACGGAAGTACCACACATGCACGGCGGCACGCCTGCGCTGCATCAAGTGCGTGATGCCTCTGCCCCAATCAGATCAGGGGTGGATAAGTATGTTTAGTTTAATTCACCCCTACACCGCACCCCCTTGAATCAGAGTCACGCGACGTTCATTATTTCACGTCCAATGCTATGATGGCTCAAGAGGCAGGCAACTGTGGGATGCTGCATCAAACCTAAGCTTTATCCTAGTCCATGGGTCGGTGGCTGTGCGAGTCACGTGTCTTTGAATCACCTGAGGAGGCTGCCGTGGCGCAGCACCTGCTGCCCTGCCTCATGGCTGACAGGCACGACGGCGCCCAGCGCCTGGACGGCGGCAGCTTTGGCGCTGCCGTGAGGCGCCAGCACGCGCGAGCCCACCACGGCCGCCAAATCATCCAGGACGCCATCAGGGAACACCAGTGGCGTGGCGGCCCGCGCGGCGGCGCCTTGCGGCGCCTCCGAGCACAGCCGCTCGATCCGCGGCGCGCGCGACGCGGCCGCGCCGCCTTGTTTCAGCTCTGTGGCGAGCGCCCGCAGCTCGCGGCTCAGGGTGGCGTTAATGGACGACATGAGGGGTCCCGCTGGTTGCCGGATGTATGTTCGCTGAAAGGAGATTGGTGTATGCAGGGAACGAGTGGGTAGGGGCCGGTCCGTTAGTCATCTGGTCACTTCTGGCTTTCACCTTGTTCGGATGCAAACTGACGATGTGGCAACCTAGAAAGGTCGACACCTCGGGCCGCTCACCGAGGCAGAATTATACAGGCTTTGATTGGCATTGCAGTACAATCTTGGCCGCAGCATCACATCTAATTGTTTTGACACAACAAATCTAGGCTCGGACACAACATACAATAAACTGCCGCTGTTCCTGCGGACAGCAGGCGGATACAGTCCGCTATGGCGGGCTGTAGCATGTTGTATGCAGCTGCCGCCGATGGTTTCAGACTCGGCTCACCGTCTTGCAACACCCAGGCAGCAGGCTGGCAGACGCAAGGCTGTGGACGGAGGAGGCCTGCCGAGAGGAGGTTGGGCCCCAGGTGGCAGAGCAAGCGAATGGGATGAGCTGCAGGTGTGAGGCGCCGCGCCGCCACCCAAGCTGAGCGTCTGTGGCGAAGGTGGTGTTAGGAGCCTATGAAGCCAATTGCACATCAGATGTGGTGCCAGGCAAGTCCTACGATGAGTGCACGGAGGCTAGGCCACGCCAGGTGAACGCCGGCTCGAGGCGCCGCCGCGTCATCAGCCAACAGACGGCACCGCCAGTGGCAGGGGTCTGTCTCGTTTTGATCTTGCTGAACGCGCAGACCCCTAGCGGATGCCAGGGGCGGGTCGAGACCCGAGGTTGCTGAGCTTCTGTTTCGTAGCTGGCGACAAAGGCCGCAAGACTCGTTCTAGCGCTACGCACTCCACTCATGAAAGGGATACCGTACACCTTACGAATCCTCAAGGCCGGGTCCTCCCACAGTGAAGGGGGTTCGCTGGCACAGGGCCTTGATCTCGGTGTGGCGTTCCGGTGGCGATCTACTCCAGCAGGAAGTGCATTTGATGCCTAACAGCTGCTCTGAGTCTGCCGGTATGGCGGACAGCGAAACCAGATCGCCGGGTCTGCCTCGAGTGCTCGCATCCAGCTCGCGAAGCCCTCATCAGCGCTGCTGCTAGAACATGCCCTTGAAATTGACATTGTATACCAATATGCAGGGGCAGTAGGTGAGCCTAAAAGGCACCGTGGCTGAGCCCTGGTTGCACAGGAGCCCTGACGCCTCGAGACAAGGCAGCGCCGCCGCCCTGCCACGAGAAGGGGTTGCCAGCGCCCTCCTGGGCTGGACACGTTCAATGTCCTGACTACAAGTGTGCCTGCATCATTAGCCGGAAGGAGGCCGCTATCCTGTGCAGCAAAGTCTACCTGCACACCCACGCTGCGCCCGCCCGCCATCAACATGATGCAGGGCGCGCTTGTAGATCTGATCACCACCACCGCCAAGCCTTTCAATCCCCAAGCGCAATCTTCACGAGGCTCGCCAGACTTCAAAGCCCTGTGTACTGCCCCAGCGTCTGCATCGTTGGGCTGCTGCTTACCCTTGCATCATGAACCCGTCGGACGTCGCCGCCCCTCGGCAGCAAGGCGCCGCCGCCGCCGCCGTCGCCGCCGCCGCCCAGGGCCAAGTGGCCCCACCTCCGGCTCGGCCGCCTTCAGTGCAGCAGCAGCAGCAGCAGCAGCAGCAGCAGCAGCAGCAGCAGCAGCAGCAGCAGCAGGGCTCCCCCGCCCCACCGGGGCCCCTGCAGCCTGGGGCTCCACCCAGCAAAGGCCTGCGCGTCGACGTCGTCTGCGGCGCTGTATGGGGCACGTACATCGTCGCGGGGTGCGTGTCAATCGCAACCCTCCCTGCCCTGCCGCGCGCCGCAGCTCTCGCCAGCCGTTGCCTGGCTGCTCGGCTATCTGCTTGCGAAAGTGGACCCAGTTGCCGCCCAGCTGCGGTTTGACTGCATGATGAAGCTCCTCGGGCCCACTCTTCCCTGTCTGCAGGCCGTGTGGCATACACAGGTGTTGATATGGCAGTGCGTGAGTGGCCCGAATTCCCCCACACGTGTGAGCCTCGCGTGACCCGACCCTCAAAACCGCCTGCCCCCTGCTGCTCGCAGGCAGCGCGTTGAGTGCCGCTGCGGCACCTGCCTGCGCCGCAACCCCGCCGGCGTGCAGGCGGGGAAGGGAGTCCTCATGAGGGCCCCGGACTTCGCGGTTCATGGGGGGTCTGCCGAGGGAGCCGACTGGCGCAGCAGCATACGGGTGCGTTGATCAGACGTGCACACGCACCGACTGCTGACTCTGCACCGCACATGGCAGGTGCTGCGTGGGCATGCCCGCGCCTGCGCGCCAAGAGCCTCCACATCTGCGGCGCGATCACCTGGCTCTGCAACCAGAACAAGTTTGTGTCCTTTACCGTGCGCTTCCAATCTTCCGCTCACTGTTTAGGTGAAAGAGAACGGCCAGGCCCTGGGAGAGTGGCTGCTCTCCCATGGCATCTCCCCCGCCGCCGCGGCGCGGTCCGGCTCGCTGCCGCTCGACTCCACCGCCGCCGCCGCCATCGCCGCCGCCGCCGCCGCCAACGCCCCGACCACCGCGGAAGCCGCGGCCGTCGCAGGCAGCGCCCCCGCCGCCCCGGCCGCAGCGAACGGGCCGCAAGGTGGGGCCGCTGCGCCCGCGGCGCCAGAGGTGGAGGACGATGACCCTTTCTTCCGCTCCCCCAGCCCCGTCCTGGGCGCCCCAGACTCTTACGCCGCCCAGCTCGCCGCCGCCGCGGCCGCCACGGCGGCCGGCGGGCAGCCGGCGGGGGCGGGGGCGGCGGCGGCCGCGGGTGTCAAGACGGCGCCTGTCGGCGCCGACGCTTGGAAGGACGGTGGGGTTGCTGCCGCAGTGCTTTGGGTTGCGCAGTGCGTGCCTTTTCAGCGGCGTGCCTCGCATCCAACGTCCAGACTAAGATCTGGCTGCAGTGGCCTGTGGCCACCCAAGACTCTTGCCGCACCTCAACAAGGATCCACTTAGCCGCTTCCATAAGCATTTCTCGTTGTTCATTTAAGTCCCATCCTCACCCTGCATCCCGCCCCACCGGGCTTGCCCCCACCCCCCAGGCCGTGAGTCGCCGGGGGCGTCACTAGTGGGCCACCGCGTCCGCGTGTGGTGGCCGCGGGACCGCTGCTGGTACGCGGGGATCGTCACGGTGAGTCATCCCGATGATGAATCATCGAACCCCTGCTTGCATTGCTGGTGGTCCCAGGGGTCCTCTGACGGGGCGTGCAGCAGGCGGTGCCGAGGGCCCCGGACACAGCGTCTGTTTTGGTTGCCGCGGGCCGTCACAGGCTCTGCGGGCGCCCTGAAGCCTCATGTCAACCCCATGAACGGCAGATGGCCTCCTGCTGATACCGCTGCATCCCTGTTCCAATTCTTGGTTTTTGCGCAATCCAGCTCAGCTGAAAAATACAGCACACGTCCGGGCTCCAGCCTGCTCGCCCGCCTGCCGGACCGCCTGCGCGCCCTCCCGGCCTGCTGACCCGCAACTTGCCGCCGCCGCACAGGCCTTTGTGCCGCCTCACAAGCATACCATAAGCTATGATGACGGAGATGTGGAGACCCTGCACCTTTCAAAGCAGCGCTGGCAGCCGCTGCTCCCCTTGGACAGCGCCGCCGCCGCCAGGAGCGCCACGGGCGGCGGCAGGGCCAGGGGCGCGGCGGGCGCGGCGGGCGCGGACAACGGAGGGAGCGGCGGCAAGGCCGCCGGGGCCGGTGGGGACGGCGGCAACGGCGGTGGGGCCGGGAAGGCGGGCGGCGGCAGCGGCGGAGGCGGCACCTTCAGTGGGGCAAGGAAAGGCACCGGGGGCAGCGGCGCACTGCTCAAAAGGGCAGGTTCCGGCTCTTCCCCGAAGGCCGGCGCCAAGCCAGCCGCCGGGGCCGGCCGGCGGCGTAGCGCGGGCGGCGCGGACGCGGCGGGAGCCGGTGGCGGTTTTGGGGGCACTGCGGCCGCCCCCGCGGGGGTGCATCGGGGCGGACCTATTGATGTGGGGCTGGCGTCAGGAGCAGCCTGGGGCGGGTCTTTCAACAGCCAGGTTCCGGGCCCGTACGATTCCGCCTTGCTCAACGATGCCGGCATGTTCCTGAGCGCCGCCAGGATGCAGCAGCCGTGGCAGCAGCAACTGCAGCAGGCGCAGCCGGGCGTCGGCGTGGCCGGTGCCACTGCCTCGCAGCAGCAGCAACTGCAGCTCCAGTTGCAATACCAGCAGCAGCAGCCGCCGCAACAGCAACAGCAACAGCAGCAGCAGCAGCAGCAGCAGCAGCAGCAGCAGCAGCAGCAGCAGCAGCGGCAGCAGCAGGCGTTGCGGCAGGAGCAGCAGCTGCGCCAGCTGCAGGAGAGCCAGTGGCTGCAGCAGCATGAGGAGGCGCGGCAGTTGCGCCAGCAGCAGCAACAGCAGCAGCAGGCGCTTGCGCAGCAGCTGGCGTGGCATGGGCAGGGCCAGGGGCAGGGTCAGCAGGGCAATCACCACTTAGTGAACCAGCTGTTGCAGCGGCAGCAACATGTGGGTCAAAATCCCAACATGTACGACGACCTCTTGGCGCAGCAGCTGGCTGCCCAGCACCACCTGCTGCGCGCCGGCTCGGGCGCCGCCGGCAGCGGCGGCGCCGGCCTGCTCGCGTCGCTGCAGCTGCCGCAGCCGCACTCGCAGGCGCCGCTGTCCGCGCCCCTCGGCGGCGGGGCGCTGCAGCAGCTCGAGATGATGAGGCAGGGGAGTGGCGCCGGGGAGCTCATGGGGGCCAGTGGGGTTGGCAGTGGTGGTGGCAGCGGGGATGTGGTGCAGCATCTGCTGAGCCTGCAGCAGCAAGAGGCGCGCGCTCGGCAGCAGCAGCAGCAGCAACAGCAGCAGCAGGAGCAGCAGCAGCAGCAGCAGCAGCAGCAGCAGCAGCCACCGCCTACCGTCCCCGTGGTGTGCGGGGCCCTGCACGGCAGCCTGGTGGTGCGCACCCGCAAGGTTGCCTGCCACTGCCCCAGCTGCGCCGCGCAGCACAGCGCAACGCTGCAGCCGCAGTGGTTTGACCCACCAGAGTTTGAGCGCCACGCTGCAGGTGGGTGGAGTGCAGTTCCGGGAGGTTTTGGCGTCACTGGGTAACTGTGCTTGTGCCACATCTCTAGGCTTGTTGCTACGTGTGCGGCACCTGCGAGGGTCGAGCCTTTGTATGCGTTGCCTTAAACATGGTGTGCTGCCTAGCCCTTGATGTCAAATGCCGTTATCGAGCCAGCCCCTTGACACTTGCATGTACCTTGCAGGCCCGCTGGCAGGCGGCCGCTGGCACGAGTCCATCCAGGTATTGGGTGACGCACAGCAGGTGAGGTGCCACGTTGTATCAGGTCTCGTTTACACATACGTGGAATATTTGTTGGGATTGCAGCCCCGATGGTCGAGCCGAGGGGCACAAGGGCATTGCAGTCCCAAAAGTGCACGTCCAAGGTAGCAGCAATCGATTGGCCCTCCGCCACGATGCTTGCCCTTTGCTATAATTGTCGCTGCTGCCCCCTGTTGCTGCTGACCCTCTGTCCTGACCTTCACCCTTGCACACATCTCGCCTGCAGGGCGGCCGCGGCGTCGCCCTCGGAGACTGGTTGGCGGCCTACGGTCTGACTAGGCAGCTATCTCAAGAGGCGCCCCTGCCCTTTGCTCAGGCCAGCCCGCTCGACCGGCCAGGCTCCCTAGGCATGTTCACCCAGCACGACGCCGGCGGCGCCGGCGCTGCGTTGTCGCGCGGGCTGTCCGGAAGCTGGGGAGTCGCCACAGGCGGCAACGGAGGCGGCGCGGCGGCGGGGCTGCCGCCGCTGCGGCCGCAGCCCTCTCCTCTTTCAAGCATGCTGGAGCGCACGGCCAGCGGCCTGGGGAGCGGCAGCGGCACGGCCGCGCAGCAGCTGCAGCTGCTACATCTGCAGCGGCAGGGCAGCCAGCAGCTAATGCACCCAGACGCGCTGGGCTCGCCCACGCCAGTCGCCCCACCTGGGGCGTCGGCAGCTGCGGCTGCAGGCGCAGGCGGCGCCCCGCCGGCGCCAAACAGCCGCAAGCGGCCGCCTGGGCACCCGCACTCCCCTTCCTTCGAGGGGCCGGGGGCGGACGCGCGGAGGCTGCCGCCGGCGTCGCAGCAGATGCAGCAGCGGCAGCAGCAGATTCAGCAGCAAGCGGCTGGGCAAGTCCCCACTCCAGTGGCCATTACTGGGGATGGCTACCAGGTAGGATTCAGCAGCTCGGGATTAGGATTATAATCAAAGTTGGGATGAGAAGAAGAATCAGGGTGGTACCAGCATCCCGTGATTGCTTGAGGGTACTTGGCATGCTGATGTGGCTGGCGGCGCCCAGCTGCACCTGTGGTGCGTTGGAGTGCAAAGGAATGCAGCTGCGTGCTGCACGTGCCGTCCCACGGACTGCAAACAGGGTCTCCCCGCAACCTCAAAGCTTGCTGTCTCAACCTGCCAATGCATTTTATCTCGTTTGCCCCTTCCTCAATCCCTCCCAGCTGCGAACCCTCGCTCTGCCCGAATCTTGAAGCCCCACCTGATTGCGCTCGCCTAAACCAGGTGCTGAGAGCCGAGGACCCGCCCGGCTGGGAGGTGCTGGCAATGATGCCTGGCCTGAGGATCCCTGAATGCAGCGTCAAGGCCTGGCCGGACGGGCGGCTGATGATCAAGGGGACGCCCAGGGACGCAGGGTGCGCGGGCGAGCTGGGCGGGGGCGCGGCGGAGCGGCGCCGGAGCCCTGAGGCGGCCTTGCGGGCTGCCTTTGGGGAGAAAATTTGGTGTTTGGGCAGCAGCTGCCTTGCACGCGACGAGGGCTCGCCTGTCCCTGGCTAGGCACGTTGGCGTCAGCCACGTGGGTGCCTGATGCCAAGCACCCCTAATGCAGCCCTTTGAGGACTTCTAGCAGCAGGCAGTGCTTCAGGTTGGGGGAGGGGTAATGAATGACACAGCAAAGCGTGTCCACATTGGGCGGTGCTGAGTCCAACCAACCAACCACCGCAGGCGCACCCCTCTGCTGGCGGGTGCCGCGATCACGCACTACATCCAGCTGCCCGGCCGCGTCGACGCGGCCAGCGCGCAGGCGCTGATGACGGCGCAGGGCCAATTGTACGTCCGCGTGCATGACTGCGCCCCTCCCTCTTCCGCCGGCCCGCCCGCGCCCGTGCCGGCGCCCACGGCCGCAACCGCGGCCGCGGCCGTGCGTGCTGCGGGCAGCGGGGGCAGCGGCGCTCAGCAGCCCAGCGGGGACGGAGGCGAGGCGGCGAGCGCCTCGGACGCCGCGGCGGCGGCGGCAGCCGCAGCGGGCGGCGCCCTCTGTGGCGCGGGCGCCGGGACGGCGGGGGGCGGCGGCTCGAGGGGGCGGACGGAGGCCGCGGTTGCCGCGCCTGCCGGGCTGCCGCGGGTGCCGTCTGGGACTACTGTTGGCTTTGAAGGGGGGCAGGCGCTGCAAGCGCCCCCTGCAGGCGTCCCTGGCTGGCCGGGTGTGGCAGGCTCCGGTGAAGCTTCTCACGGGCAGCAGAACACAGTAGCAGGCCCAACTGCTGCGGCCATGATCGAACCCGAGTCGCTCAGAACCTCACTAGCAGCAGCCGGCAGTCCAGGGGCGGCGGCGGCCGGCACGTGGGGCGTGGTGGGTGCAGCTGCAGGGGGGGTGCCAGGCCAGGCGCAGGCAAGCGGCCCGAGCCCGTCCGGTCCAGGCGGCGCTGCGGCGAGCGCCGGCGCCGGCGCAGGCGCCGGCTCGGCGGCGCCCGGGGCCGGCACAATTGAAGGGGGCGTCACAGGCGGGGGTGGCGGCATGGCCGTGGATGGCGATGCCGCGGATGGGTCCAACCAGCAAGCACCCAGCGTAGATCCCATGGATCAGAGCGTGCCAGGACGAGGTGTGTGATGGCCAAGTGCAGGGGCAGGGCCAGCCCGTCACTGCACTGCAAAGCGCCGCACGCAAGGAGGCAAGGTCAGGGTGTGCTGTGGCCCCCGCGGCGCTTCGAGATGCGCGGAAGCCTGGCAGGCGGCGCGCACGAGACTCGGGAGCCGTGATTGAGGGTCCTTTTGCAGTGCATACTAAGTTTCGCTTTCTTGCATCGCTCTAGTTTGTTGGCGTGCTACGAGTGAGGTTTGCGCTCCCAACCCGCCGACGCGCACTGCAGCTCGTTGCCAGATCCATCACCCTTCTGCCGAGCTTGATGACGTGATCTGCCGTTTTCCTTTGAGAATTCGCAGATATGACATAATTTTGTGCACTCGAGGCCACAAGTGCCATGCATGCAAGTTTGCGGGGGCGGGCAGCTTCCCAGGCCTGGTCCCCCCCTTGATGGGGGACCCGTGGCTGGGGAGCAAACCTTGCGCATTTGTGCCCAGGGCCTTGTTTCGCAAACCTTTCTTGAGACTTGGGGTCATTACAATCTGACCTCAAGCATGTTGAAGACACACGGGCTTTTGGGGTTCGAACATGCAAAACGGCGTGGCGCAGGAAGGTAGTGTGACAATCACACTGTGCATCACACAGACACGGCACATCTTGAGCGCTCTGCGCAAGCCACCTTAGCAATGGTCGGAGGTGCAACAGTAATTAGCGTTTGAGCTCCCCGTCAGCACCCTGCCGCAACACCCAGGCTCTGTGCAGGACAAAGGTAACGTGCAGATGATTATGGGCCACAATCTCGATGTACAGGCCGCCCAACTAGTGCCCGTCAATCCCAATCCTCGGGCACACAATCCGCGAGCGTCACCGACCCAGGCTCTGAACTCGCCGTCACGCGCCGCAGCCGGCACAGCTCGGCGGGATCGCAGGCCGCTCGAGGCACGCTGCGTGCGCTGCGTCCACCATGCAGAAGCCACCGGAGGCAGCGCCGGGCGCCGGTGAGCACGCCGCCTTGCGCCTGATGAGACTGGCGCTCCTCCACCTCCGGCTCGGACCAGGTGTCCGGCACCACCGCGTCCAGACTGACCGAGTTGGCGTTAGCAAGGTCCGACATTGCTGGAAAACTAATCTTAGGTGACATTTTATGCGATGGGAGTCTCAGAAGCAGCCACCAGCTTCAGCTGACTATGACGGATCGTAGCGATGACACGTGTCACGCAAAAATGCAAACAGCGAGCCCCTGCACATGTCGTGATATATGCATGAAACTTCACTTAGAAATTTGGATATTTTTAAAGCGTGCGAGTCGCGTTTGCCTCGTTCAGCACACGGCGCCGCTGGTCAAATCATCGCGGTCAACATGACCACCAGCGCGAGGTCGCCTTGTCGCGTTACCCCACTCAGCTGGCGCGGCGCAGACAGGCCGCTGGATGCAAATCTTTACTGCTTTGTCAGTTGCTTGGAGGATTCTGGCATTGTACTCATGCATCACATGATATGGCTGGTGCCCTTTGCCAAGCACAGTGGTACACGGGAAGTGTCAGATGGGCATGTCATTGTGTGCCCGCGCGACAGCAAGCTTACACCAGGGCGCTCTTGGTTTGATGTTGCGCGCACCACCCTTACTACAGGTGGAACTTATCGTCGACAGATGACGTTTTGATGCAGTCAAATATTGGCCTCACAGGGTTGCTCTGCACAAGTGCAAGCCGGAGCAGCATTTGCGGGACCCATCCATGTGCCGCCGCCGCGCAGCAAACAGCATTAAAGGTCGCCATTTTTTACAAAAGAGGAGCGCAGTTGGGATTGTGACAATCATGGCTTCATCGAGGTCAGTGCAATTGTGTCAACATGGTCGGAGCAGCTGAGAGGGGTGAGGTACGGTTCATAAGCGTGTCATGAGCGACAGCAGCAGGCCGCTCCCAGCCCAGCTTTGCAGGTGTGTGAGCAGGACGAGCGCTGCCATGTGAGCAACACCATGTCGTTGACTTTCAATGGTTGGCAGCATGCAAAAAGTGAGATGGCACTGCAGCCAGCTTCAACTCAACAGCGAAGCGGCCCACAAGCTACGGAATGCAATAAAACACACCATGGCTTGGCAGCGAGACACCCGCTGTGAGGAAGCCAAGCGTTGCGCCAGGGCGCCAGGCCCCCCGCGTGGATGCCAGCTGGCACAAGCCCTCGGCTACCGTTGCGCCTGCAGCACCGCGGCCGCCTCGCCGTGGCCCGGCAGGGGCGCCGGCAAGCCTGCCGCCAGCGCCTGCAAGCCCAGCAGCTCGTCGACGCCCGCGCCGCCCCCGCGGTTCGACAGCCCGCTGATACCGTTGCCCGCCGCGAGGGCGGCGATCCGCGCCTGCGCCGCCTGCATCGCGTTGGCGCGCTGCTGCTCCGAGTGGTGCGCGAAGACGCGGCGGCGGGGGCCGCCGGGGTTCAACGCCTGCGCGTCCTCGCAGATGACGTGCGTGACGCTCGCCGCCTGCAGGGGCACGCGTCGCGCCGCGACGGCGATTACGAGCACAAGTCAAGTCAGCGGAAAGCTTTGCCTGTGTGGCGATGAGGCTACGAGGGCCGAAAAAGATGCGGTTTCGGCCCACGAAATCAACACCGCGTGGCCGACGACTGTCCACTATATGGTTCGCTGCCATGTGCAGGGCAGCATTTAGGTGAGCCCACCCGAATCCGCCAACACGGCACACGAGTTCGCGCCGGCATGGCTGCCGCGCGTGCATGGTGGTGCGCAGGCACAGGGCAGAAGCGGCCGCGCCTCACGTCTGGGAGCAGGGGGTAGGAGAAGACCGACATGCGCGCCAGCTGCACCGGCGTGAGGCAGCGGGCGTAAATGAACGCGTCCAACAGCAGGCTGCGGGGGCCAAATGTGTGTGGCGCGGGGTGTCAGCATGCCGAAAAGCTGTCGCTGCACGGTTTTTCGGGGGTGTCGATTATGTACGAGCGAGCCGCGAGCGGCAAACGGGAGGTCCGGCATGCCGCCGCGCGATGCCCTGTGTTGGCGGGAGGGCAGCAGCAGCCGCCTCGTGGCAGGGGGCACCAAGCCGCGGCCTCTGCCGGATGCCGATCGTTGGCAGGCCCACCTGAGGGCGTGCTCCTTCTTGATGTTGTTGGCCAGCGCCTCTGCTGTTTGCATCGCCAGAGTGGTGTTGCTGCGGGATGGAAAGGGAGAGTTGAACGCGGGCCACGTCAAGGTTGCACAGGAGTGCCACGTTCAGGCGTGTGCAGGAGAGAGCCAACTGTCAGGGCATCAATAACAGAGCCATGCGGCCACTTCAGCGGTGCTCAACACGCCCCCGCCTTGAGAGCAGGTCGCAGAGATGCAAAGATACGTGCAGAGCGGCAGCTGCAGGGCCGCAGGGGCTGCGCTGCATGCACCCTCACCGCAGCTGCATCAGGGGCTGCTCGCCCGTGCCGGCCGCGCCAAGCCGCTGCTGCAGCACCGCGCGCTCCGCCAACACCCTGCGGTGTGGGACGAGGGCGATGAGTCAAAGGGTGACGACTCAGACAGCAACCGCGGTGCCAACCATGTGCGTCTGATGTGGTTGCATCAATGGCGAGGCTGGGCAAGATCTGATCACAAGGTCAACAGCCGGTCAAGGTGGTCAATGAGGGGAGGCCAGCCGAGGCTGGGGACCCGCCCTGCCGGCGCGGCCGGCGGCTCACCTGCTGGCGATGGAGGAGTAGAGCTCGTGGAACGCCAAAACGTCGTCCACCTGGCAGTGTGGTTGAACAGCGACAGGTGAAAACGAGAGAGAGGGGATGAAATCACGATGCGGCGCAAAACAAAGGGCCAAAGCACGAGCCTCCAGCCTCGCTGCCCCCAGGCATCGCAGGCCTGCAAGCGAGCCCTTGCACCTGCTCGCCAGACCACCAACGGCCTGCGGTCGGGCTTCACAAGAACCACATGGCCCCGCGCAGCCCCCTCCCCAAACGCATCGCCGCTCGCCTGCTTGGGCGTCAGGCGCAGCTGCGCCACCACGCCGCGCCAGAAGCTGTCGGGGGCCGGCTCCGGCAGGCCGGTGTCCAGGTTGATGCCCACCAAGGCGTATGTGGCCGCTGGATGATTTGCATCGCGGCGCACGCAGTAGTGCGTGCTTGTTTAAGAGAGTCTTGCGTCAAGTTGTGGCCTCACAATTCAGCAGTGGAGGCTGCCGGCTGGGGGGAAGGGCGATGGCAGCAATGGACAGCTGCAACGCGGCCTGCGCATGCCGCGAAAGGGACAGAGCGGCAGCGGTGCAGAGGCCGCCGCTCCAAGCGGCAGCAACGTGTATCAAGGGCGGCCGCACCAGGATTGAGCAGTACCACGTGCTTGATTACGCTGGAAACCCAGATGGCGGG